CGCTGTATTACGATTTCGCGGTAATTCCTTGGACTGGTAAAGGGCGATATACTTTTTATTACTCATTTTATTTTTAAATGGCGTATGGTTCAGACCAACTAATATTGGTGTCTGAAAAATTCAAAGCAATATTTCTACAATGTAAGTCACAACATAAAGTTTTGGAGAATTTAGCAGAAATTAAAATTAATTCCCTTCTCAATTATTCCGAGAATCAATATGTTGCAGTTCTGCAGTGTGGGTCTCTTGATTTAATCAGCAGAACATTCTCTAAAACCATTTCAAATATTCTGTTGAACAATTATTGCAAAATAAAAAAAAAATAAAAAAGAAAAATCACTAAACTTTCAGGATGAGATATAGTTTAGATTTCAATTTTTAGTTTGTGATTAAGATGATGTATATTTATTTTTTGTTATTAGTGTATTTCATTTTTTGATATCCATAAAAATTTTTTCATTTTGTTATGTTGATCATTTTTACAGTTTATTTTGTTTGGTTTTGTTTGTGTATAAGGATTCAACGTTTTTTTTAAATTTTTTACTTATTCATTCATATATCGTTGTTCTGGGTATTTTGTTATTCAGTTCGTTATATTCATTTTTATATCTCTCATTTAATTTAATTCAACGTTATCATTCAAATATAATACACTCTTCAGCAGAAAATAATTGATACCGAATAGGCGTTTTTGTGTAATAACACACACGAGTGATAGGATTTCTAACGTCATCAAAGTGCGTCCTGATCATCTTTAGAGATAAACGCTGCTAAAACCCTTCTAGATAAAGTGGATGTGTATCATACCGATTTGTAGGAAATCAAATTTCCTACAAAAAAGTCAGTGACAGCATATATCCATAGTTGATAGGATTAGCATGGGAGGCGTTCGAACTTTCTTAACTATTCTGTAATGAACACCTGAATTATCGTTCTACTTGAATTGAAATATTGGTTCGTTGTTGGCCATTGGGAATTTCCAAAAAAAAACCAGTCAATCTAGATACTATGCGAAATCTTTTCATGGTTGAATCATTTCTGTGAATTGAATATTGGAATTTTGGTAGCTGTTTGTAAAAGGACAATTCTGAATGGCGTCAATTAATTTTGATATGCCATATTTCTGAAATTGATGATCGTAAATCAGTGAAATTAAATTCATCTTCTGGAAAATTCTTTTCTGTACCTACATATTTGACCTCTTGATATTTTTCGCTAACTGTGACCGTTTTCCCGAGGTAAATCAATGAAACGGGAGAGACAATTTCCACTGCGTTGATTTTGTCCCTACTAGTGTGACGTCACGAAAGCGATGCTCCGGCCCGGTGAGATAGAGTAGGCCCTGATTTATACCCACTTACGCCGGGAGCTAACTATTACAATGCCGCCGCGCCGCCGCCAAATAATTCAAAATTTACGGAAAGAGACGGTTCTGTCGGTTCTAATTCTATCTCATTTATTGAACTGAGAAAAAATGAATGTATTTTATTGCCTTATCTCTTGACAACTTCATTCAACTTCATTTTTTTATTCATCTTCTGCCGTTACCATGCACCACTTTCTTTTTTACTCATTTTTTTAAATTCCAGTTTCAATATATACGCATTACCAACGACAACCTATATTGGCTCCGGAGTTCTGGTTTTGTTATTTGTTATCGGATCGAGTTAGGCGAATCACGAAATTACCCCTACTGAGTAGAATATGTTTTTTTATCTTCATCAAATAAAAGTATGTACCGCAGTCGGTTTCTTATGATAGCGTTCCTATAACAACACAGGAATGTCCAAGGTACATCCCTAGGTTAATTTTTTCGTGTCCCTGGAATATATGATGATATCCATTCACATCAGTCATTGAATTTTATCAAAATATTGAGTTGAATTTTTTTGAAAATGTTTGTTTTTCTTCCGGAAAATAATTGTAATTTATTCAGGTTTCTGTTTTGTATAGTGTTTATAAATCTGTTTAGTACATATATATCTTCAGAAGGCATATTAGCCAATGGATAGTAAGGTGCGTGCCTGATAAGCTAAAGGTGCCGCAGGTTCAATCCCTACTCGACCTAATTTTTTTCTTTTGTCGAAGGGATGTCCCTGGAATATCCTTGGGACGTCCTAGGGATATCCTTTCTTCGTACTTGGTACATCCCATGGACGTACCGGAAGGACATCCCTTGGATTCTTCTTTTTTCTTCCCTACCACCTCTTAAAATTCACCGCCGGGGGCTAGCTGATGATAGTCCCATAGCCCCCCCCCCTAAATCCGACACTGATTAACTAAATCGCTCAGTTAGAATTTCTGTAGTATCGATAATTGAAAAATATTGGTATTTTTATCCAGCAAAACATCCCTGCTGTTTCCTACACAAAAAAGGTTGCTATTTTGACCTCATTATTCATGGTTTATATAATAATGCTATTTATTTACGACAGAATCATTACAGTGCTGTCCATTCGGTTAATCGAAGTTTCTTGCTGGGGTGATGAACTCTTTTTCTAAGGTTACTATACAGCTACCTATATATTTGCCACAACTAATATGACATTCATCAGAAATTATCTATTATTATTCACGCTGCGATATTCGGACTGACTCGGGACATTTCGAGACAGATAAAAGCCAACATCGCGATTTATATCGTTTCTACCGTCACTTTATTTCGATCTGACGAAGTTGCAAGGTTATCGTTATTTCTGAGCGTTTGAGTGAGATTTCGATTTTTGTGTTGTGTATTCACCTACCTATAAACTTCAGATCATAAGAAACAAAATCTAAATTGTATATCCAAGCATTTATAATCCTTTGTTTTGTCTACATGCATCTCTATTTTGTGCGCATGTTTTGAAAGACAAAATCGTTCAATCAGTGCTGTGTTATAGTATATAGTGAGTGATACCGATCCAAGAATCAGAAGATATAGTTCCTGAGACTGGCCACTGACTATCATTTATCGCCAAGCTTCCATCTTATTATGGCTTTTTTTTTCGCCGAGGTGGTTGAAATCTTTTATAGACATCATATGGGTCCAATCCCCCATATGATAGTGTGGGAGTCCCCTCCATGGTATACCCACTAAACACTTCACCCCGTTGTAGGCTCGTCTGACCGATGTCTCCGACGACACTTTTAGGCCTAGTGGCCCATTGTATCTCACCTACATACCGTAATCAATTTTACCACATATGACTCATGGTGCCTATTAAGGGCCACTTCAATATGAAAGACCCTTCTCGTTTAGGTCCCTGAAGATTGCTATTCCGATCCCTGTTCTCGTCTACGAAGAAGGCCAAAAGCTTTCCTTCTCCTACGAGTGACGAGGGAAGCGGTTGGTCCAGCCCTCTGGTGCCCCCTGCACAGGGCTAAGGCTGTTTACTCTGGGGGATGCCACCCTGTTCCCCAGAGGCCCCGTTAGCGACACCATTCCTCGGTGCCATCCATCCATCGCCACGGGTTCCCACAGCTTGGATTAGGTTGCCAGAGCCTCGTTGACCAGTCCTCGACCACCTAGACCGACATCAGCAAATCGCCCCATCCCTGCCACAGATGTCCACAAATTGTCCCATCTGGCAGGAGTTAGCAAATTTAAGATGGTCCCAAAATGCTTCATCTGTCAAGCGGCCGCGGCCTGCCTTCCCCACACCATGCACTTGATGGTGAGGTTGGGCTTGGAGGGAAAGAGGAAAAGAGAAGTTGGCCATCAAGAAAGGCCGATAGAAAGATTGAAAACGAAAAAGAGAAGAGGATATCACCCAAGACAAGTTGAAGTATGGTGAATATCTGGCTAGGGTACCTCGGGTTCACCATTCCCGTATACTCACAAGTTGTGAGCCCCTGAGGGGATTGCCATGCAGAGCCTCGTTATCAATCCGCGGCCACATAAGCAGATGTTCACAAATTGACCCATCCTCGCACTCAGATGTCCACAAAACTGTCCCATCTGATGAGTGATGACAGCAAAGATGTTCCCAAAATGCTCAATCTCTGCCGAGCAGCCGCGGCTTGTCCTCCCCGCACTATGGTGAGGTTGGGCTTTATAGGAGAAGGAAAAGAGAAGTGACCAAGGGAGGCCGATGAAGAAAAATATTGGAAACTGAAGAGTGAAGAGGGATACCATCACAGACAAGTTGAAGATTAATGATTATCCGGCTAGGATACCTCGGGATTGCCATTCCCGCCGTATACTCACAAGTCGTGAGCCCCTGAGGGGTTATTATGGCTTGCCTCCCCAGCTATGTTCTCTGCTAGCTAGTTTTATTATTGTCTCTCAAACAGGTCTCTCCATGTAGTGGTCGACAAAATTTCATCTGACTCTCTTATCATTAATGCTGGGGTTCCGCAAGGATCAATCCTAGCACCAACACTATTTCTACTCCATATCAACAATTTGTTGGAAGCAACTTCATGTCCAGTACACAGATTCGCGGATGATGTACACCCTACATAACGCCTTCTCTTCCAGGGCTCCAATATACCAGCCAGGCAAATCAGAAACGAACGAGGAAGAAATGTTGAGAACATGAATATGGACTTCGCAACAATTCTCCAATGGGGATCCAATAACTTGGTAGATTTCAATGCAAACAAAACACAAGCATGCCTTTTCTCTCGAAAAGCCGATCTCACAACAAAAGCTTGTCAGGAGTAACCATACCTGTATCTGTAGTTTAGTGTCCTGAAGAATTACACGGTGTACGCTTAGATTTTCAACAAAATTGTTGGTAAATTTTCAAAATTAGTGAGAGTAATAACGCCATGGCCAACAAAATATGAGTTTCGTGGAGATATCTGATGAAGGAAATTGAATATTTCCATGGGTATCAATGGAGCTTTTCTGCTTGCTCTTGATGCTGTTTTTATGAAAATGTATGATAGGAAATTCTGATTTTGATTGAAAAATATTCCTCACCATATGGATTAGGATTAGGGTAAGAACACAGATGTGGGTATATTAATTCAAAAAGAGGCAGAATATGGAAGGTTGAAATTTAATACAATATTTGAAAATTGATATTTTATTAAGAAATGATAATGAAAAACAAACAGAATAAGTAAATTACACATTTATATAAAATAATACCATGAAAGTTCAACTGAATATATCCTTACATATATAACAAAGGAATTTTCTGGTCCTATTGAAATCAACTTATACTCTATCAGAAGATTTGTACAATCTTGTATAAAAAAAACACCTCAAACAATGAATAAAATCATTTAACAGGTTGTTTGAACCTCTCCAGTCGCAGTTTTGCTTTTTCAGTATCCGGAACGGCGCCATTGGAAGAAGCGCTGAACCTTGCTTTTCTCTTTTCCATTCTTTCTTTATTCTCCAAATTTGACATGACTGTCGATACAGATCCACCAAACCTTTCTGCTCTTTGTTTGAGTTTATCAACACTGGTCGTCTGAAAAAGAATATTCAAGAATAAAATATTGACAGTAATGGCACAAAAAGGACATCCATTTCGTGGAGATCGTGATATCAGCCGGAATTAAAACTCATTGAGCAGAGAAAGCCATTTGAAAAAACCAATGAGAGCAGTAACAATTCACGACCTGTTACTAGTTGGTATAAATATCGGTATAAATATCATAGAACCTGATGAAGTGGAGACCAGAAAACCGCGTATTGTGTGTATACCTATTCTTGTTGATAATGATAAGGATGAACTTCATCATGAATTACTGAATTATTTTTCTTTTTTGAAAAATCAAATTGACCAAGTTGAATGGTTCTAAGTTAAACGTTTTTCACTTGTAGGCAATCTAAAAAACATCGAAGTTGTTTCTGTGGGACTTTCAAATATTCGAAAGGGCGGAGGCGATCATCAGGAAAATTTATTGATAAACGATTTCATGTCGTGCTGAAGTTGAACAGTCAAATCGATAATATAGAAGAGCTCTAGATGAAATGTTCTTTGCTGGCAATCCCAAAAACTTGGAGGTTGTTTTTTCAGGACTTTCTGGTATTCAAAATGGCGAAGGCGTCATAATAAGGAATAATTATTGAAAAAACGATTATAAATTTCGGTTAAAACACATAGCCGTTGCTTTTTCTAGTCATTCATGTAATACTATTTAAACATAAAAGAATAGATGCATTCAAAAAGGAATATTATAAGCTGAAAATATTCAACTCGTAGTTTACTTGCAATGCTGCACTGGTATCTATTGTTTTTTTTAATATCTGCAACAACCACGATGCAACAACAAGAAAAAAATTGGTGACGAATATACAAGGTATTTCAGGTTTAAAGGTACAAACTGAAATAGGTGATTGATCTAATCATTTTAATAATACAAGTTTATATAAACAGTCCGATCTCGATCAGTAGCGGAGCTACAGGGGGCCAAAATTTAATTATTTTCCCTATTAATTAGAATAATCTCGCTCACTTTCAAATATATATATTGTTGGTTTGGCCCCCGAACTTAATCGTTATACGGCTCTGACATCTTCCAGTTACCAAATTGGGTGGATGGTTCAATGAACCGTTTTCAATATGAATGAGCCAATCCGTTCTAGAACATGTTATTTTGCCTATGTTTCGCTCAAATTTTATTCTTAGTCCAATCTGAATCAGTAGCGGAAATACAGACGATAAAAGGTAGAGTTTTTTTTTTGTTTTCAAGGTTGGTTGAATGGTTCATGCATACATTCTACTATTTTGAAACCCTACAGTTAAGTAAGTTCTTGAAACAGATACGTGTTTTCGATTTCATAACTATTTAGTATATTATGTAATCTTTTGTACAGATTTCTGACAAAAATCTCCTGATGATGGCAATGTTGCCGAAAACGTTCGAGATTTGATTTTAATGATTGTAGTCTATGTACTATAGCCGCTGGCTCGTTTGTCATATACATTAAATATTTAGTTTATGATTCAAATTTACCTTACGCTTTCAACTTTGTGATATTCTGTCAGAAAATGTCTGATTCGACAGCTATTGAATAAAAATATCATGAACTTTATTTTGCATTATTTCTGAAGTAAGAACTGTTCATGAAATACTAATCCGCACAAACTGAGGAGTAAAGAAAAAATCATATGATGCGACAATGTATATTAAATTTATTTTCACTCCACCCCGTATAGCTAAAATAGATATTGGAATTAGTCATTCTTGTTCGGAAATTAATCGGTTGAAAGGATGACGTAACTAATTAGTCATCAGAATGATGAATGAAACCAATCAGCAGTCTTGTTCTAGATTTCATCGCGTACTTACGATTCAAGGGATATAAGAAGAGAACTCGAATTATTCAAAAGTGAAAAATTGGAATTCCTCTTCGGATTAGTGATTGTATTTTCATTTGAGGGTGTAGAAGTGGTATTTTTTTAAGATGGTAAGTGTTTTTGTATATAGATATGGGGGGTATTCATCACGTTGTTGGTATTTTGCTTCGGTATATTTCCATATAACGATGACAAAATTTGAATTCGTATTCAGTTAGGATGAAATAATTCGCTTTGTTTACTTATACAGAGGTACTTGAAATAGGAATCGAAATGAGTTGCAAAAACACTCGCCATTTTCGTAGTAGAGACTCATTGTTATACATAACTATTCGAAATTTGGTATATCATGCTTCAACACCTAAAATTGAATTGAATGGAATCTCACCTATGAATCAAAGTTTGACCGATTTCTATGAATATAAAATATGTTGAAACAGGTCGATTTTTGATTAAATTTACAGATTTTAAAATAATGAATAATCAAATATACAGGGTGAGCTAACTTAATGAATTTTATTTTCGAACAAGCAAATTCCCTATTCAAAAACAATTTTATTTGTCAAAATACAAAAGCAGAGAGCAAAATTTATTAAATGTTTCTAGTACAAAGGTATAAATCTGTCTGAATGTGAAAACGAACAAATGTAACAAGAGGATTTCAAACAGTCAGCGAAGTTGAAGAGGTTGATGGGAACGACGGTGCAGAATTTCCAGTTCATAGGAAGCTTACTGGTGATATAATAATTCGTGTGATGACTTCACAGTAGTTTTTTGGATGGAATACCTACTTTTTTTAGTTTCCGGATTCTTCCAGCTGAGCTTATTCCAAAAATGCTTTCCACTTTGCTTCAAATTAGCACAGCTTGGGCAAAAATACAATAGTTTATGAACATTGATATCGAATATCGACATATATCAGGAATTTTCAATAGTTATGTTCTTTCAGTTAATAATGAATGTATGTACCATTTGAAATCGAAAATTAAAATGTTTGACTTTGTATTTTCTGTCAGGAAATGTCTAATTCGGCAGCTATCGATTGATCAAAGATATTATGAACTTAATTTTGCATTATTTTCATAGTATGAACTGAATAATAAAAAATCCCATGTAATGCAGACCTCAACGATGACACTGTATGTATATCAAATTTATTTTCACCCTACCCCGTATACTTACTATCGATATCGGAATTAGTCGTACTTGTTGTTCGGGAATTAATCGGCTGAAGGGATGAATGTTCTTTGAGCTTATAATGAATTTATGTGCCACTTCAATAGCTATTTATATATCAAGGGAGCAAAGGTATCCATTTCCTCCCACGTATGAAGTTTGATGCACGATGTGTTGTACAGATCTCATACATATATCTCTACCAAGGAAGCAAGCTAAAGCCAATTTATTTTACCTCCCACGGGAGGTAATGTTTTTCCTCTCGTGGGAGTAAATTGAGAGGTTTGTGTCCTTAAATGAGGGAGAAAACACTTACTTTCGATGCAGTGTGTAGATAAAATCGTTTATATTCGAATGATAGAATTTTTGGCTTCGTGTTTCCTGCCAGAAAATATCTGATTCGCCAGCTATCGATTGATAAAAAAATCATAAAACTCATTTTGCATATTATTTCCAGAGTGAGAACTATTCATGCAATCCTGATTTGCACAAACTAAATAATGAAAAAATGCCATATGATGCTGACTTCAACTGGTGTGACTGTATATTAAAATTGCTTTTCACTCCCCCTCCTATACCTACTCACTATAACGGAATTTGTAGTACTTGTTCGGGAATTAATCGGTTTAACGGATGACGGAACTAATTAGTCATGATATGATGATGAATCAAACAATCAGCAGTCTCGTTCTAGATTTCATCGCATAAGGTCGATGATGAAAACATTTGAAATTCGCTTTATATGCCTATATTTATATACAGAGGCACTAGATGGATATTAATGCAACATGTTGCGAAAATATTTGCAATTCTGTTGAGATTTAACAGAAGTAGTTTGAAATTTCGTATTCATTCAGAATGAAATAATTCGCATTGTTTACATATACAGAGGTACTGAAAATATATATTAAAAACAGTTGCATAACACACCATTTTGTAGAGATTTATAAGTATAAGTATGTAAGCTATATGAAAATTGGTATATCATGGTGCAACACATGGAAATGAATCGAAGTATGATCAATTTCTATAAGAAATATTGTTTGCATACCATATTATATATTATGCATATATATTATGACAACATATCGTATCAAAATTTGAAATGTCAACAAGAATGTAGGTACTGATAGTCATTCATATAGCAAGTTGAAAAATGTAACATTCTTTTTCAAATTGTGAAAAAACTTTGTTTCTTTCACCAATTTATTACAGGCTGGAAACCAAATCATTACCAGATATTGGAGGTGGCAATGTATCAGAGAGTAGTACACTGATCTTATTAAAAATCTAGGAACATACCATGCCAAGATGCCAATTGGGGCACTAATCTTTTTGGTCAAAAGATTTATGTAATTACTCCATGACAGTGTTGAGTCAATGTATAGACCTAGATATTTTATTTCACAGGCATATTCGATTTGGTTAGTGCCAAAGATAAGAGGTTCAGTTGAATAAATTTTATTGTTAGAGACAAACATGAAAATGATGTCTTGGTGTTTAAAGTCAATTTGTGAGTTGCAAGACATTTCTCAACAAGTAGGAGATCAAGCATCATGTACTTTCTTATTTGCTCTAAAGATCTACCTGAGTAAAGTAGTATGGTATCATCAGCATACAATTTTATTTTCCCTGGGAGGCACAGGATTGATATTGAATTGGCATAAATTCAGGAATAATGTTGGTCCTAATATTGTGCCCTGAGGGACACAAATGTTATTGTTTGATAAGTACTAGCTTTGCCATCAATTGATACATGTTGTAGTCTGCCTGAGAGGTACTCTTTGAACAATTTCAAAACTACTCCTCTGATACCTAACCTTTCTAATTTTAATCAGTTAATATTTCAAAATTAATGAGACATTATTTGTTAACATCTCCATTGAAATGTGCATGCACACATATTGTCAGGCAGTTGTGAAATATGTTGTTAAAGATTCATTCAAATACTTTGAATTGGCACTACAAATTCCTTAAATTTGAACCACATGATTTCATCTTCTGGATTTGTTATTACATACTCACCACATCAGAAGATGTGATACTAGCAGCAGAATTATCACCATTACCAACTCCAAACCTCTCTGCTCTGACAACTTTCAAAGCATCTGGATTCAATGAAGTCACACCAAATTTTTTGGCTCTCATTTCCAGTCTCTGAAATCATTGAATGAATAATCTGTATGATATTATGGGTTATTAATTAATAGGAAACTATCTACTAATCAAGTTTCCAATTTATAAGCATTCAAGTTGTTCCTGATGATATTTCAAGAAGTTGTTCCTTTTGGTTTTTAGGAAAGTAAATTTTTACAAGGAACACTGATAGGTATACAGGATGTTCTGTTTTTTCTTAGAGTCACTTTCAAGTGAAAAATATATAAATGTATAATAATTATTATTCTCTTGTAACTAAGATTTGGTCATTTATCATTATCATTAATCAACTGTATGAAGAAACAAACACTTTTTTTTTTGGAATGGCACTATAGCACCATTTACAGAAAGCTTAAATACAATTTCATATTAATAAAGAATTCTCAATTCCCACAATAAATAAACAAATATAGGACATGTTGAGGAAAGCTTATGAAAAATAACATTCAGATAGACTATTCAAGAAGGTAATAATAATGACTAATGAGTCAAACTGTTTGAGGAAGAAAAGTAAGTGTAAATTTGGACATTGGGAGCAGTTGAAACTATGCATTAGTTTCTCCCATATTAAAAAGTACCATGAGTAAGTATTAGGAATGGTTCCTCACCTCTTTGGCACTCAGCTGAGAAAGCCTGATCACTTTTTTATCTCCTTTCCCCTTGCCTTTCTCTTCATCAGGCTTGCTTTCTTCCACTTTTTTTTCAGATGGCAGAACTATCTCAGAAGTTATATTTTCATGTCTATTTAGTATTAATTTTTTAGGAGGAACTTCTTTGGTGTCAGTTTCATCCACATGATCTGCAATTTTTCTTTTCAATGGATTTGGAGATTCATCCAAGTCATTTTCTAAGATAACTGATTCACTTGCATCTAAATGTTCATCATCATCGTCCTTAAAGTAAATTCAATAGGATACTTCCAGAATTTCAAGTTATACATACATTCAACAAATCTTCCTCAAGATCATCTACAGACTCTGAACCGGCAGCATCATTTGATTTAACAGATGTCTGTAACCTTTCCAACAATTCATTTTTATTTCCTGTTGTGCTTAGACCCCGTAGCTTCAACTCTTTTTTTAAATCTGGGACCTAATAGCAAACTTATTTAAATTCATGTCACAATTTAATTGTATTCAAATAGCTATTCAACAAAATTATTAGTTCACAAACAAACTGGAGAGGTTTATAATGAAATAAGAAAGAGTTTGATGGAATTTACCTACCTTCAACTTGGAAAAATCTGTGGACATTTCTGATAATGATTCTTCAGCCATTTTAAAAATAAATTTGTATGTTTTTAAGGTTTTCGTATGGTTTATAGGTTAGTACTATTTCTTCTCATTTTCAAGTTTATACAAAACAACTCCTAATATTTTACAGACATAGCCACAGAAGAACCTATCCAAAGGTCAGTCAGTAGGTGAGATAGATTCAGCGAGGTGTCACTTGAAATCTGAAATATCAGCTTCACAGAGGAGCTCAGTAAACTCCATTTTCCATTTCTTGAAAGAATAAATGCAGGAAACTTGAATATGATAGTTCAGACACTACCTAATAGATGGATACGAATTATCATCAGTTCTACCAACCTTGTGATCTCTCTAGAAATAGTTGTTGAACTAGGATATATAATAATATGTGGTAATAGGTCATATTTGGTGGAAAAGCTTCAATGCCGATATATATTTCAAAAATATCAATATATATAAATGATGTAAAATGTTTATTTTAGCCTCAATTTTAAGCATTCAACTGTGTCAACATCCAATAGAATCGGGAGCAGTTGGCAGTGTTGGCACTCAAGGGAAAAGGGCAAATCCATTATATTAGTAAGATCTCTATATATTTATCTATCTAGGGAGTTGAAAAATGTACCAAATTTCACAATTTTTTACCAAAGAATGCCTTTCTATACCTATACTAATCCCATTTTGATTTCTTCTTGATGAACTGTTCAGAACCATCTTCTCTGACAGCACCATAATATCCCATCCCCTCATATTTGCTTCTCATGTAAGCAATATATCCTGCACAACCAATGATAGCAACTAATCCAAGTCCCATTATGACGGCATTCTAGAAAGTTCACGGTGGTCTTTTACTTACATCTGATACATCCCCTTCAGATAAATTGATTATTATTAATTAGAGTACTAATATCTTAATAGGTACCTACAGGTTTTGCATAGAGTTCAAAGTTGACTGTCCTGAATAAAGTAGTACTTCTCACAGATCGCAAACCATCTCCAGGAGCAGGATTTTTATTATTATTCATAACTACTTGACAGATTGGAAAATGGAATCGAATATATTAAAAATATACTGAAATTAAAAATGAAATTTATTATTGTGCTTCATTCAATTTATAACCTAAAAACAACCCATATTGTCACCTGTCACTGTCACATGTGTCATACCAATGACAGCTAAATATCTAGACTGTCTGACGGGTTATATCACTCATACCGACAGTTGCGGCATCATCCATCATTTTGGCTGTGCGTGAGTGGTGCGTGAGCGCGTGCACAGTGCACGGTGCACGTTCAGTGAATTTGCTGGCACTACTACTGAAGGTGACTTGTTTTGATGATATGACCAATAAGAACAAAAAAAATGTGAACCAATGAAAATATAGTAAAAGGCCACTTTTACTGCTTGCAAGAACTCTGATAGGTGGCGTACGCATATTTTCTATCGCGATGATTATTTTTGAATCTCTGGTGTTAGTCCAATGAGATATAATCAAGAGAACAAACTCAAAGTCTCACTACTAACAATTTTCAATAAACGTTACATGTTTAGACTCCTAGGAGTCATCATCAGGCTGAAGATACAAATACTTATAATCAATCATAAATCAATCATACGTACCTAATTCATAAGAAATGATCAACGATGATTCATAAGTAATAATGTAGGGTTATAGTTCAGTGTCTATATCTAATCTATCTCGTAAGGCACCTGCCGAATTGTGGAATAGTATTCCAAGAATTTGATACTAGAAATAATGAAGAATTCACAATACTATATCTTTTCTCCAACTATCTCTACTAGTGCTCGACCAGGCTCTTTGTTATTATTCTAAAAATCAGCAAAATAATATACCTTTCCATATCAACCATTCATATTATACATTTCCATATAATATGATATGTTATCTTCACTTAACGACAATATTATGTCTCAAAGACGACAATCGTTAGCTACAGAATTGCTACAGAATAACAAATATCGTTCCGTAACGATTATCGTTCGCTAACGATGTCGTTAAGCGTTACAGAATTGCACCCTACTTTCTATGGTCTGGTCATTCATTGTCATGTCACTGAATAGCTGAAAATCCGAAGGGTACCTCCCATACAGTAATGAATATGATGATGAACTAGATATTTTTAATTCCAATTCCAATTATCTGAATATTCCACAGGTCCGAAAAGACGGATTCTAATAATAAATGTCCAAGGTACCGATAATGATCATTTCCATCATTGCACCGACGTATAGAAGTTCATATTCGATGCTAGCGATTGATTATGATATTAATGGTTAATTCGAAATGACCAATAGTGACATATCACACGTTCCATCGCTACAATCGCCAAAGCCAAAATCGCTTTCAGGTCATCTCAAATTAGAGTCCCTATAGATGGTATTAGTTAGAAAATAATACCATTCAGTGACTCTATCTCAAATCATGTTCATTGTTTGCAGTGTTACCAGCTGATGAACATGAAATGTCGCAAAAATTCACACAAAAAAAACGCTAGAAATCGCTGTATAGCGAGCGAAGCGACTAAAAAGCCTGCCGCAGGCGGAATTTCTGGAAATTTAGCGACTCTTTCCGTGATTCAGTGACATCTTTGGCCAATCTCCCCATCTTCAGTTATTTTATAACTTCAGATAGAAAATCGTAGTAGAAAACTCTGATTATTCAGATTTGAGAAAAAAAAATCCATTAAAATTTCATTTGCTACTATGATGCTTATAAAGTTAAATTAGTAAATCACAAAATATATTTCTTGTTCGTATTATTTGAAGTATTTCTTTGATGAAATCACACAAATAACTTGTCTGTTCGTTCGTGTTTACTCTATTAGCTAAACTCAATTTTTTTTATTATTTCTCTATTTACGTTACGCCATGAACAGAGACAACTATGGAAACAAATTCAACTTAAGCAAGTTCAGCAACACAAAAACGAACAGATCCAAAGTCACATTTTGGTGTCTATAAGTTTCAATACTTATTCATGCAAAATAAAATCTTTACATGCAGTCATGCATCACAATGTTTTAAAGCATTGTCTGCTGAATATAGAGAGGAAATCTAGTGAGCTGTAGATACTCCAGCTCACTAGATTTTTTTCTCCATATTGAGCAGACAATGTTTTAAAGCACATCGAATCTTCAAAATATTATTCAGAAGTGGCAGAAGTGGTACAAATGACGATAAGAAACCCTGTCATCTGTCATTCTCTTCTCTGCGGATCTCTTATCGTCTCGAATATTTCAATATGAATTCATATTCGTCGTCACAAATTCATGTGATCAAAATATATATCTCCATATGAACCGCTATGACCATGTTGAAAATGCTAGAATTCCGACACAGCCCACAGTCCCCCGCGAGATTAACCCGTCGAGTCAAAGGCGTTTTCGGAAACTTACTCGGGTTGTTCGGATCCCTAACCTGAACGTTCGGTTACCCAAACCGAGTTACCTACCTCTGTTCGGAAACTTGAATGATGCTGACTCGATCACTGACTCGGGTTGATTTTTCGTGACCCAACTCAAAAGCAGGGTCGCCAGAGTTGCGAAGGACACCGCATGCGCATTACGGAATTTAAGTCAATCAAAAAACGCGGGAGTCTACATTCGACGATAACAATAATAATAAAATAATTTGCATGTTGGGAAAAATCACGACCGGTGATATACATGTTCTTTTCAATCTTCACAATTTGATTAATGTAATTCATTGAGAAGAGAATTTGGGTAGGGGTGAAGTTTGTGGTTATGTGCAACAACACATATGAGACAAGTACACCAATCCACAGGTGAATATAAATATTTGTAATCAGATCAAATAATTACTTGAATATAATGTGACCATTTTCGTCTGTCAAATTCATAAAACCACAGGAAAAATATAATATTCAGTGTTCCTAACCTGACACGTTCGTAAACGTTGAACACGAGTATATGATCCGAGTTTTTTGTCACGTGACCTATCTGGATCGAGTTATCAACCCAGAGTAAGTTTCCGAAAACGTTTATCCAACGAACAGCGAGGCTCTGGAACACATTGCCAAGGGAGATGTTCTTCGAGGCATATATCCTCCAGAAATTTAAGAGGAACAACAATTCCTACCTTATTTCCCTTGGTTCTCACGATGTTCTCTGAACATTATAGGATATCCCTTTTCGTAAGAACCAGGACATAAAAAAATAGTCGCAAATCAAGTTGAAATGTTGCATTCACCTTCACACCTGAACACGACAGCGACAAAACCGCTAAGATGGTAACCCTGATTGTTCGGTGTAATCAGTTGGCATATATCTACTACTCATATATGAAGCATAGCTGTCCTCAAAGCATGACCAGCTTCTATCGCGAAATTGACCAATGACGGCTAAATATCTAGACTGTCCGACGGGTCAAACCAATATGGCTGTTCATATATTTCACTTTCCGTCCTTATAGATTCGAAAAGTATCTCTTATTTTGGTCCCATTCTTGTTGAGATATTGTATAGACGTTGCGTCATATATAGAAATAGTAGAAATATGTCAGTTGGTCACAGTGGAAGAAAAGAAGAGAAAGAGAATATAAACTTTTTGACAGTTTTTGACATTATTGAGTATGTTGACAGTCATGGACGTGTTTATGGGTTTCTTGTAAAAGTTGTAAATCCACTCATTTTTATTTTAGCTTCCAAAATGATAAGTAATGAATCAGATTTAATGGTTGGCAAAATTTGCCGATCGTGTATGTGTGAGAATGATAATATGCATAATATATTCGAGAAAAACACTGATTTGGATTCAACTACACTTCTCTCTGATATGATGGTAGCTTGTGCATCTATTCAGGTAAAGATTAGTGGCTAATTATCATGGTTGTTATATCATTTGTCTGCTAGTTATCTGGTGGATTATCATGTGTTGAATATGTACTTACAGGTGGCTTCCGGAGATGGGTTACCAAATATTGTATGTAGTGCCTGTAAGGATAAGCTTTATGATGCATTTGAATTCAGAAAACAATGTCAAAAATCTGATTCTGCTCTAAGAGAACTAGCCAATGTTGATAATAAGAAATCTACAAAAAATGAGGAAAGTATTGTAGTTCATCCTGATGTTCATGATGACATGTTTGATGATGAGGATGATGTTCCATTATTGAAAAGAAACTTCAAAAGAAAGAGGGGTAGACCCAAGAAAGAATTAAATGATAATATAGCTTGTACTTTCTGCCACAAAATCTTACATACAAAAAAAGGGTTGAAAGTTCATTTGAGATCACACACTGGTGAACAACTCAGGTACTGCCTATTTTGTGATGCAAAGTACACCAGAACAAACCATCTTATTCGCCACATTAGTACCCATGATAAACCAGACCTGATGCACCCTTGTGAAAGTTGTAGTAAAACCTTCCAGGCAGCAGCAGATCTGTATAGACATTCTCAAGAACATCAGAAAAAAGAGAGTGAAATCAAAGTTGAGACTCAGTATATCAAATCTGAGGAAACTGTGGAGCCTGAAATTACTAATCAGGTTACTAAGGATTCTGACTTGCCTCATATTGAAATATTACATGAAGATAAAGATGATGTATTCAATGAAGATTTTCCTATGAGTGATGGTTATGACAATCATGATGAAAGTGATGAGGATTTTGCAATAGAGCTAAAAGATACCAAGTTGATGGAGATGAAAAAGAAAAAAAATAGGCCAGAAAATAATGATAAAGCATTATATGAATGTAAGGAGTGTACTAAGGTGATGACTACTTATATTGGTTTGAAGATTCATATGAGGAAGCATACTGGAGCTGGACTCTCAACTTGTAAAGTATGATTTATCTTTCAATCTATATGATGATGGGTTAGTTGTAGAAGCTTCAATTCAAAAATAATCTAAAAAATCTGCCTTTGAAACACATCATTCAAAATTTGAGATGAGTTCCCTTCAATTTACTATCTCCTAAATTGATTCTCCTATTTCACTTCTAGAATTCATCAGATATTTTTTGTACTTTGAAGCTATTGCAAATATTACAATTGAATGCATAATTTAATTCTATATATTTTTTTGTTTCAAGTCAAAATTTGTTTTCTCAATAGAAATTTCAGTGTTGCAAAGTATCATAATTTTTGTTAAAATATAAAAATTTAATTTTTTCCTCAATTTCATAAATTATGAACTTTAAAATCCTTGTTCTAATAATAATATTAGAAGTTAAG